CTCCCATGGTATACTTTTTTTTATTACAGCATTGCTCAATAAAATAAAAAAAATAACCTGTTAAAACATGATCAATTATAATTTAGTCGTGTCGATTGCTGTTGGCCACCCGGCGTTTTGGGGCGTTTTGGCCAGGAAACCGTGATTAATCAAAACTGTTAACTTAAACATTGGGTTCGAAAGGTGTGATGCGCAAAATCACTGCCAGCATTTTGGTGACAAAAAACGCAACACCTCCGTTCAAAGCACTGTCCCAAAATGAATGCTGCACATGCATCATCGGTGACGATTCAGGCAATGACACTCCTTCATGGCGAATGTATTCGACGAACTGGTTATGGAAATGGCTGAACAATGCAGCAGTGTTCTTCCTTAAAGTAATTAAGTCGTTGATAGGTTGCATATAATTAGGGTTGAAGCGGTGACGTGCGGAATAGATGTTGTGTAATTGTCTACACCTTTGTGTAGAGTAGAGTGGGCCTTAACTGTTAAATAAGTATAACCCGTAAAAACAAAGTTTTTCACTATAAATCCTTTATATGCGTGGCAGCGAACTTAATATAAAGGATTTAAAAATATATTCGCCTGTGGAGGACGCGGGGATCGATCCCGCGACCTTTGGCATGGGAAGCGAGGGCGCTACCAACTGCGCTACTCCGCCACGGCCTGTGGAGGGGTTACGCTGTTGGGCTCTTACACTCTGACGTTCAACCAAAGCCAAGAATGAGTTCTATTTGAATATATGTTAAATAATTTTTTTTTGCCTAAAAAGTGTAAAATTTTGGGAACATTTTTTTTCACGAACATTAATTGTCACGCACAACGAGTCTGTGTGGAAAATGTCAGCTCGATTGGATCACAGGAAGTGGGTTAAAAAACGACCGAAAGATTTGCACGGTCCTAAGCAAGCAAGCAAGCACGCAAGTGAACTTAATATAAAGGATTTAAAAATAAATAGTTTAGCGTTTTAAAATAAGAGTTCATAGATGCCGTGCAACGTGAAGTAGACTTCCATTGATTTACTAACTCAACGGGATGAGCTCAAGCAGACAATATTGTTTGTTTACAAACGCAACTTGGGATAAATAATAATCAATTATTCCTATACTGTGTGCAATATTTACCTTGTTATAAATGTTGTGATGTGTAGGTGATGTGCAGATAACATGGAAAGAGAAAATGGTTTGAAACACATTAATTATATCACATACATGTACTAATACTGTACTAATTATCGGTTTAAATGCGATGGTAATGACTGCCAAGTTACCACATTCATCATCATCAGCTCTGGCCAACCCACCGCTGGATTAAGGCCTCACCAGATATGGTGAAAATTGCCCCGTTCTGCAAAGTAAAAACGTCCATTATATTTGTGTACATGTAAATTTTGACTTAAAGCTTTCGTGACTGCAGGAATTAATATTCTTTGTGTCTTTCGGCAAAGTCTCGTAGATAGGTTTCAAAGAAAATAACAAAAAACTACGACGTTTCAATCGCAACACAAGCGGTCGTCATCTGATGCTATCGAACATCATAGTTTTTTGGTTATTCTTTTTTTTATCTATCTACGTGATTTGAAGCTTTCATGCCTGCAGGAATTACTCTTTGGTTCTTTCGGTAAGTCACGTAGAAATAAAATAATTTAATAATAGAATACAACGTTTTGAACGTAATCAACCAGGTAGGGTGTTGACTGTTGTGTTAGCCGACTCTCTGTGTTGTATTGCATTATATTTCTAAGTTTACTAGGTTTGTTTTCTCATTCATTCGTACCTGAAGACGATTGCTTGTGTTGCAATCGAAACGTCGTATTCTATGATTTAAATTAGTTTCTTTCTACACGACTTTACCGAAAGAACCAAAGAGTAATTCCTGCAGTCCCAAAAGCTTCAAATTAAGTTTGAACCACCTCTACGGGGAGGATTCCCACACAACTCACACTTGAACTTCTAATTTAGTAATCTTTGGATGAACGTAATCAACCAGGCTATGTGTTAACTGTGTGTTAGCCGACTCTCCGTGTTGCATTGCATTACATTTCCTACTTTTACTAAATTTGTTTTCTCAAACTTCCTATTTCTCTCTCTAAAATTTGCCAGGCTTGTTTGTCTATAGGTCCATTTGCTCTTTCTCTCCCCCTGGCCGCTACTGGGGTGGATTTCCACACAACTCTCTCATTGACATGCTAATTTCTATACCCCCCCCCTCTCTCTCTCTGCCCCCCCCTCTCTATTTAAGGCCTCGACACAGATGCGTTGTTTCTCTGTGTGTCTATATGTGTGTCTCTCTCTGTTTGTCTCTGTGTGAGTCTCTCTCTGTGTGTCTATGTTGTGTGTCTCTCTCTGTGTGTCTCTGTGTTGTCTCTCTCTCAGTTTATGTGTCTGTCTATGTGTCTCCGTGTCTGTGTTTTGTCTCTCTCTCAAATTTAACAATCTTTGGAAGAACTGTAATCAACCAGGCAGGGTGTTGACTGTTGTGTTAGCCGACTATCTGTGTTGTATTGCATTATATTTCCAAGTATACTATGGTTGTTTTCTCATTCATTATTACCTGATGACGATTGCTTGTGTTGAAATCGAAACGTCGTATTCTATTATTTACTTTATTTTCTCTCTACGTGATTTTACCTAAAGACCCCCCAAAAATGTGTGTACATTTGTTTGCAATATAAACCTCCAATAAAGTTATTTGTCGGACCGTGCAAGTGTACACACCACTGTTTTCATTTTAGCTTGAGTCAACCTAGTGGGGACCAGATTACAATTACTCCTGTTGTACACCACAGCCAGGGATTGAACCGAGGTCGCTGATATTGTCTTAAAGTAACTTTAACAACGACACACCAACAAGTGGAATAACCATTGATTCTCTCTTGCATTGTAAATTATACATGCAGCGTAGAGTTCGAGTTTTGGAACAATAATGTATGGTTCATCTTCTTGGTTCTTTCGGTAAAGTCAGGGAAGTAATAAAATAATAAAAATAAAACATAATAAAATAATTCTCACGACGTTTATTTTTATTATTTTATTACTTCCCTTCTACGTGACTTTACCGAAAGAACCAAGAAGATGAATCTCTGCAGTCACGAAAGCATTACATCGAAATTTAATGTTTGATTGTTAATTAATATATTGTACACACATGTGGACACATGATTTGTGTAGCCTGTGAATATATAAATACAGGGGATGAAAGATAAGCAGTGTAAGTACAATAACTGAACATTTGCCATTAGACATGCCAGCAAATGAAAAAAATAGATAGGTTGACGTTCCAAGCAAGGTCCCTTCTTTATAGCAGACGGAGACATACTTAAGATATAATAATACTTACTTTACAGCCCTCTGTCAATCCACAATGAAGGCCACAACAAGACATGGTATTTCTAGATTTGAAGCTTTCGTGACTGCAAGGATTCATATTCTTAAGTTTTTTCGGTAAAGTCACGTAAGTAAAACATTTAAATGACTAAAAGTAAAATAAAAATAAAATAAAAATCACGACGTTTCGGAGACAACACAAGCTTCCGTCTTCAGGTGGAACAGTCACAGTATCAAGTAATTTTTTACCTACGTGACTTTACCGAAAAAACCTAAGGACATGGTAGTTTTCGACCATACTTTCAGCACGCTGCGCTATGCAGGTTGGCGATGTGAGCGACAAACACCGGTTCAGGTAGAACTCGCCACTGATATCAGCCGTGACCAAGGTACTCGAACCTGCCGTGTGGCGGGTCCACAGCGCAGTGTGCTAACCACTGTGCCACCGCTCCCATATACCGATTCGATCCCACATATCCATTTGTCTGCATTCAAAACACGCGACGGGCATCGGCCTCCGCGTGTTTGTATGCAACGGCCGTGTTGAGTTTAATGACATATTGATAACGATGTTAATACTAATAATTAGACAGTAGTTATTTAGTTGCCATTTTCTCAGCATTTTTTTACTCTTGAAAGTCAACACGCACCCCCGAATGTGTCCCCAGTGTCTGTAAAATTTGGACAACATTTGTCGCAAGCACAGCCGTTGGATTAAAAGGCGCAAACCCAATGTTTGCTTTTAAAATACACGGCATGTCATCATCCGCATAAAATAGGTTACAGTATAGCTTAACACAAAAGACAACGATCGCCGGACGTTTATACAGGAGAGGGTACAAGTGTAGCCATAACCACTCCCATCCGCATTTTACTCCGCAGCGCCGATAATTATTATTAATCACACTCCGCTACAAATTTACGGCCAAGTCAACCTAGAGGAGGTCAGGTTCAGTCAGAAACACACGTGCCATCCGCTGTTGCGCACAGTCAGCAATTCAAAATAAGCCTTGCCGGGTTAGTAGGGCAATGCGTGGTACTCCGCGTTGTGAGCGTTGCGAGCGCGCACACACACACCGATTAATCTATCTTCCACGCAGCATTCAACAGACAGTTGGGACAATCGCTATCAGCGAGCACCTATTTAAGCCGGCCAGGGCGCCATAGGAAAGTGGTGTTGCCACCCCTACACCGGGCCGTTCTTGTCATGCCACGTTGCTGATGTTTAAACACCGCACAAGATCGCTCCGTTATGGCCCAGCTCGACCACGCGTTCCGAGCGCCACTGCGCGCGCGCTCGCTCGCTCACCGCTGCGCCACCGCTCCCCGTACACACACAAAGACAAAGATCCCCCGTATAGTCTGTAGCAGACTGTCGGGGGCAAGTGCTGTAAGCGAGCATCTCTGAAGGCTGGCAAACGGCACACGAGGGGGGTGAGCGGCCAGCACCACGCCCGTCCGCCTTTGTCTCCCCCCAGTGAGCGATGTTTACTACACACCGAACCAGGTACTCATTTGAGGCTGAGTCGACCTAGGGGAGGCCCGGGACTGGTTCCGATAATCGTCACTGGAGCGAGAATCAAACTCGGGTCGCCAGGTTTGTAACGCAGCACGTTAACCGCTACACCACCGTACGACAAACACACACACAGACACACACCCGTTCAGTCTTACCTGTGTTGCAGGTGTGTATTGATATCCGAATTGCGCGAACGACATCTTAAATCGTGTCGTTTACAAGGACGCCAACAACAAAACACATAACTTGTAAAGATCTTGAACACCAACGCTATCAGTTCTATTCCGATCCCCTACCTAACAACTCGCGTTAAAGTAATTCCAATCGTTCACAAATTCATCTTGGTTCAAGACGCCTCGTGACCAGGCCACCTTGGCTCCTCCGCGACAAATCGCAGGACTGCGTGCGTCGCAATAATTTTCAATCCGCATGTTTCGCTATTGCAGCAGCGCATTAACAATTCTAATTACTGTGTAACGCCGGAGAGGGGTCGGGGAGGGGGGTTAGAACGTAAGCTCCCCATGTAGACAGACACGCACACACACACACAACGCACACAAAATAAACAAACGCTTCCGAATGATAAAAGACGGAGCCTTGCGAGTACAGACATCCCCATCCGCTGCAGGGCATGTGCATTTTGATTAAGCTTGCTGCTGGGAAATAGGGTACGCTGGGTTGGCGGGGGAGGGAGGTCTGGCGGGGAGCGGAGGGTTAGTATTTAGGGGTTGCAATCCAATCCCAAAAAGCTGCCTATATAATGTACGCGACGGATCGCACGCTTTGCACGTGTTAGCGTATGCCCGCGTGTTTACGAGTGTCCTTTTGAAAGTGTACGGTACGGGAAGGGACTGGCACGTGTGTGCATGCGTATTTGCTTGTATGTATGCATGCTTGTTGTTCCTTGAGATGGTTATGATCCGATAGGAATGGATGGATGGCATTTGCGGGGGGGGGGGGAGATTGGAGGTTGTGTGTGTACATTTGTTTTTACATGCGTCTGTTAATAAAGTGTAACTTACATCGTTTCTTAGGGATAATGATTGTAACCCTACCAGATCATGACCACATTAAATTAACTTATTAGGCGCTCACTAACAACACATTCCTCGACTATGTAGTAATGCTAATTAAGATCGCCTTTTGTAGTGTAGAAATCTAATGAAACATAAATCTTCGAGAATATTTGTTTCTGCAGTTCTGCTTGGGATGTCTATCCCAGCTGCTTTTGAAAACGTATTTTCATTGTTTTGATTGTGAAAGCCAAGCAGACGAGGGCAAACTCCCCGCGGACAGGAGAGTACACCCAATCCACACGCAGAGTGATCTTAAAAAAATAAAAGTCAAATATATTTAATGTGAGGATTAAACGAGGATTAAAAACAACTACGAATCACGTGACTGCATCACGTATTAATGTAGATTATTATACATTAAATATGCTCGACTTGGGATGTAACAATATCACACGCAATGTCCTATTTCGTTAATGTAACAGTGTGCGCGTGTGTGTGCATGCGTAAACCTATATGCATGGAAAGAGTAATTAAATAAAGTGCACAATAATGTGTCATCTGCGGTTAATGCACAACGCGCGCTAACCAAATCATGTAAATATCCGTGTCGCTATTAAACGCGTGCTGCTACAAGTACACATCACCTAACACGTGCACAGAACAGTGCTTCAGTGCTCACACGACCACGGGACACTACCCATCTCCATCAACAAACCCAGTGGTAGACGTTCACATTGCTAGGGAAGGGAACAAGGCCATGCACACGCAGCCCAATCGAGAAAGCTTACACGGTGGGATGTACAAAGCGGCACGCTATTCCAAGAAATAAGCCATTAAAAGTCACTTCCAAAGTAAGTGGCTTCGGGTGAATCGGTGGTGTTATGCCCTTCCAGCGAAAAGCTTGTTATTGTTTTTTTGAATGCGAGTGCATACTTGATTTGTGATCCGTGCCTATACCCAGGTGTGTGTTGAGTGCGTTTGTTTGCTTGTCTGTGTAGTGTGGGTGGGAGCGGTAGTGAAGCGGTTAGCGCACTGAGGTCTACGGCGATCCGAGTTCGATTCTCACTCAAGGCCAACATCAATGACGAATATTTGAACTAGTCCTGGACCTTCCTTAGGTCAACTCAACTTTAAAAGTAGTATATCAGTACAGCAGCCTTTCTATTACTGACCACGCAACGCGGCACTCGGATGTTTTATGGGATGCCCCGAGGTTGACTCGGACCTAATGAATACCTAGTGCGGTGCTCATTACTGAAACGGGTTGAAAAAGTTGTCCATTAGTATCCTACCTCCTCTTGTGTCTTGTCAGTCTTAAAGCTTTCGTCGCTCACTAAACGCGGTTTCCCTTCGCGACATTTTTAGGCGAAACGGTGAATCTACGTCTCTGTGTGCGCATTATGCATCTACTCCGACGCGCATAATTCTCATATGCTTATGAGCTCCGGCTCAGACTTGGGAATTTGTACGTTCTGCTGTCTGTGGTAATGTTGTTAGAACAATAACACAATAATGTAATCAAATGAATAGTAATAAAATACACTCTATCTAATTGAAAAATCAAACGTGAATAAGTTCGGTAATGTGTGACTGCAACTCGTGCCTTACAGCAAGAAGAGCACTTAACTTCTAATTTAGCAATCTTTGAAAGAACGTAATCAACCAGGCTATGCGTTAACTGTGTAGCTAACCGACTCTGTGTGTTACATTGCATTACACTTCCTAATTTTACTAAATTTGCTTTCTACCGTGCTTGTTCATAAGTCCATTCTCTCCTCCGGCCGCCATGGGCAGTAATTCCACACAACTGCCCCTCTGCCCCCCCCTCTCTCTCTCTTTTACGGCCTCGACACAGAGACGTTGCCTTTCTGCGTGCCTATGTGTGTGTGTCTCTCTCTGTTTGTCTCTGTGTGAGTCTCTCTCTGCTTGTGTGTCTTTCTGTGTGTCTCCGCGTCTATGTTTTGTCTCTCTCTCAAAGTTAGCAATCTTTGGAAGAACGTAATCAACCAGGTGGGGTGTTGACTGTTTTGTTGGCCGACTCTCTGTGTTGCAATTGCACTATATTTCTACGTTTGTTTTCTCATTCATTTGTACCTGATGATGGTTGCTCGTGTAGCAATAATAATATAATACGAAAAGTCGTATTATATTATTATTTAATTTAATTTATTTCTACGTGACTTTACTGAAAGAACCAAAGAATAATTCCTGCAGTCACGAAAGCTTCGAATCTAGTTTGAGCTTTAGAGCTCTTTTTTCCAGAAGCGACCTGGCCAGAAATGAGAGCCCAATGAAGTGGCTTATCACGTGGAAATCTAGAGCAGCCAAATACAAAAAAATGTGCAATGCCATACACTGCTGACGTTAGCCGTGGCCAGGAACCAAATCCAGGCCGTCGGGTTTGTGGTTCAGCGGACACCACTGCATCATGGCTCTATTCCGCTTAGGTTAGTTTGGGATTTATATCCCGAAGCCGAATCGAACTATCCCATCATAGTCAGCCGGTTCGTCTGTTTCCCCGTCTGACTAGCGGCCCAGGGATCCGCACAAGTACACGACTAACACCGTAACCCCAGATCGATTCCTGTTTACGACCAATAATAACTCACGTCAAATACTGAATACACTCTCTACTTACCGATGATGATGATGATGATGTAAAGGAGGTGTGTGTTTGTCCGCGATGGTTAGCGCGCTGCGCTAACGAACCCGGCGACCTGAGTTCGATTCCCGCTCACGGCCAACACCAGTGACAATTATCTGAACCAGTCCTGGGCCTCCCCTAGGTCGACTCAGCCTTACATGCATACCTTGTGCAGTGTGCAAACTTCAGCACTGGGGAGACAAAGGCGGCCGGGCGCGGTGTTGGTCAGCACATCCCTTCATGTGCTATGCCGGCCTTCATGGGTGCTCGCGAAACAGCACAGTCTGCTAAAGGCTTATGAGGGGGATCTCTGTCCTTGTTATTTTCAAAACCTACAACTCGCTTAACATAAACTTACCAAATAAAGTATTACGTTGTTTAAACACACTATTTTAAGGAATAATCTCATTGACCTTAGAAGGTACTTGCTTACATAACTTGCTCCGATGCTTACACAATTTTCTTTTTCTTTTTGTTCATGTGCAATCATTACATTAATTATCCTAAAGTAACTCTCGTAGCACCATTTATATAAGCATACCAATGCTTTCACATGTTCATACTTGTCATTCCTATTCATTTATGTGTCTGGAAACTGCCATTTTTTTACCATTATACGGCCTTCCAATTGTTATTGGAAATATTGTATATATATCATTTTATATAAAAACAAAATTACGTTATTAAGGGGTGTGATTTGCTTTTAATATTGGTTTTCAGTGAATAGGTTTAAAAATCAGCAGCCAAAACTTACATCAGTCTGGTTGGCAAGAATGACTATTTGAACGCGTGCGTTTTTTTCCAAATGTGCATTTATATCTATGCTACATGGTTTGCATTTGTGTGTATACACAGCGAGCACACATTAACATAGTGCCTCTGTGGCACTGTGCGTATATTACATCGCTTACATTCAAGAGATAATCGTGTTCCAACATTTTATTTTTTACTGAGATCTATACTTTTCAATTTCTAAGTAAGTGTTATTTCCACACTAGTATAAGTATGAATCTCAAACCGGTCAGAATATGAAAACCCATTCCTATCAGTTTTTTTTGTTGGCTAGGCATGTTTCCGTGTTACTCATCTCTCCTGATAACAGTGTGCGCTGGCCGTTCTTGAAGGAAATCGATGCGTTTTTATTTCCGTAATAATTATTATTGCTATAATGTCTGTCTCGCTCCTCTCTGCTGCCACTAAATTAAAACGCCGATCCATTGATCCCACGGTGCTTAATATGACATGGCGCAACAACAGCAGAAAAAAAAACAATGTTGTACAAACATTTGTGGAATTAGATGCAGCCGCCTGGACATACTCAGAATGTTCAGTGGCATTATATAACCTTGCATTTCTAGAGAGGGTAGTTACAAGTGCAAATACAATGGAAAATCATACTGGCCAAAATAAAAATTACAACCAACATTTGGGATGACAGGTATTCAAGGTCGCCATCATCCATTGTCAATGACGCAAACACAACAGACTGCTGTTGTGCTCTTTGGCAGATCGGCAAGTCTCAGTTACACATTTGCAAAAGTGTTCAAAGCCTGGACATTGTCGATCACTGTGTTACAATTCCAGCGCAGCAAGAGAGATGTTATTGCTGGAATGCTAGCCACACGATATCTAGTGAAGCGGTGGTGCGGTGGCTTGTTCCCTGCCCTATGAACCCGGCAACCAAAGTTGAATTCCTGACCACAGCTGACGTCAGTGGAGAATGATACTTGAAACCGTACCGGGCCTCAACCCCCCCTTACAAAAACTCGCACTGAACATGAGTTTCAAAGAAGAAGCCAACACACGTGGACAAAAAAAGGAGAGCCATTGTGCATATGCAAACACAAACATAAAACGAGCTTCATGTCCTGACTGAATTGCATTGCCTTCCTCTTGTCTTCGATCACCGTCAAAATAAACTTGAGCAAATGCGAACAACAGCAAGCAGCAGCAG